GATCAATACAGCCGCTGCTCCTAATAGATGGGCCTATTCCAGCTAAAATATGTATAACTGAAGCCGACTTTACTTGAGAATTCAAACAGCTGAATAGGTATGAGTCTCCAGTTCTGGATGGAATCTACCCAGCCATAGTTCAGCAGTTAGCCGAGGCCTAACAGGGCTAACCACTAGGCTCTTAAGGGAATAGCTCCAAAACGCTACCTTGCCAGATGAATAGCGTACGGCGATAGTAGTGGCCCTGCATAAATTTGGGTCCAAGTAGAAGGCCTAAAACTACAGACCCGTCAGCCTAACTTTGATGCTGTGCAAATGCCTAGAACGATGGATTAGAAATCAGATATTCCTGCACCCAATACACAATCGACACAGCCTGGCTTCGTTGAGAGCAGGTCATGTCCCATATAACTGCTGGCATTTCTGGATGAGGTTACGCGGCGTTTGAACGAGGGCAGGAGCGCAGAAATATGCTGTTTAGACTCCTCGAAAGCCTTCGACTCCGTCAGCCATCGGCTGTTGGATGTCAAAATACAAGGCCTCGGTATAGTGGGCGTTGTGTTGCAAATCATGTAGGAAGAATTAGGCAGTACGTTTATTTTAAACAGCAAATATGTCGCCGGTTCACAAACCGGGAAACAAACGGGAACGAACAACGTGTAGGAATGCAGGCAGGTCGACACCGGCTCACACATCGCACTGCATCTGAATGCCGTTGAGTCGGCATTCAAACAGTCATTATGTCGATCAACCAATCAATCGATCAACAATTCTGGTCACAGGTATGTAAAGATAATTTATCTGTTAGTTGTAGGTCACAACAGAAATTGGCTTATGCCGTTTTTGACCAACCGCACCTTATGGGTTAATGTAGGAGAATTTGGAGTCGAAAATTGAAGTATTCCCGGGAGGAGTCCCACAAGACTCGGTGTTAGGGCCCCTACTGTTCCTAATGTTCATTAGCGAAATGGCACAGGATCTCGGAACTTTTTGCTTCAGTTTTGCAGATGACGTCAAAATGACGGGCACAGACTTGCGGAGGGATTCAGAGATAGTTCTTCGATGGAATGTTCAATGGCATCTGCTTCTGAATCTCACGAAGTGTCGGCTTTTTTTCCACCACACCCAACACGTACTCGGTAAACGGTCTACCACTGAAACGGGACTGACAATTGACACAACTCGGGGTTAAATAATTTAAATAATAGAAACCAGACAATCCGCTATCGGTGAAGTCCCAAAGCCCATTGTTCCTTGTTCACAGAAGACATTCCATTTGTATCGATCTTTGAGATCATTTATTTCTAAGCCATTTGCCGTTCTTTTTGTAGCACTTTGCTCTTCTTTGGCTCGATTGTGGCTCTTCCCTGGAAATGATAAATCTTCTGCCTTGATTATTTTTCTTCACTTCTTCGAACTCGTTTTCGCCCATCATCTCCAGAGGGGATATTCCTACTCTCAGTGTTGTGTCTTCTCAAATGTTCTTCATAAGTCAAACGCTTATATCGATGCGCTCTACATAACAGATCACCCCAAGTACTCCATCATACGACCTTGTTTCTTTTTGACTGCAATGCATCTTTACAATATCTCCAGTACCCGTTTGGAAAATGCATTCTTACCCTCTTTGTACTATTACATTTTATCTCGACCGTCATATTTTCACATTGTGATACAATTGATTATGCGCACTAGCATGCTTCACAGGCTTTGTGAAATAAACAGTTGTTACTATTATTATTATTTTGAACCCTAACTTCAAGCCCTCAGCTCAATGTCTCAGGAAAACGAACAAGGAGAGTGGGAATCGTTTTGCCTATGTGCAACAGTCACTAGCAAACAACCGATTTTCGTACCTATATATGAGACCATTGGTCGCCCCATTTGAAATATTGTGTCCAGGCTTGGGCACTATATTACAGAAAGGACATAACATGCTTAAAGAAGATGCAGCGTCTAGCCACCCAAATGGTACTCAGACAGAGGGGTAAAAGCTACGCACAGAGACTAGGGGATCTCAGTCACTTCGCGCTTGAAAAGCGAAGTCTTGAAGCCTTGAAGTAGTATTCGGGTTGGAGCCTTGCGCCCAATAGTCCCGGTCTATATTCGCCTTCTCTTCTGTCAGGGCTCAACATAGGAAATCTGTTTACCCTAGCCTCTAACCACTGGCTCAGCCGGCAACTGCAAAGGAACCACGCTCGACTGGAGATTCGGTCTAACTTCTTTTCACACAGGGTCATACTTGTGTGGAATAAGTTACCTGAAGAGGAAGTCAACTGCACAAGCGTCAAAGCTTTTAAGGCAGCACTAGATTCCTGTTGGGATGCGACGTTCCCAGAGGTGAGTATCTAAGACGGGGATTTCTCTGGCATCAACGAGCTTAAATAGATGTAAACCAGGGCACCCACGACATAAGGGGTTACCCTATGTAATAACGTGTACGGTGCATATGCAACAATGGAACCAAACAAGCAAGAAGACAACTTTCCCTCCCTTTTTATAGTACCGGTTTTGAAGACCTCCATCATTGGAAATTATTTTGATCAAAATGGAACCCACTGAGCAATTGAATACGCAGTGTTGGGAGCACAGTATTAGCCCACAACACAACGAACTGGACAGTTGGAAAAAGCCTCATTTTTTCCCAAGAAACTAAACTGAACTGAACTGAACTAACCCGACCTGAAACAGAACCTGACGGTAAGTACCTCGCGCGTGATTTGAATTTATAAAGTACTGTCGGTCCTAATTCATCTTGCCAAATTAAAATGAGATATCTCAGGAGATTTCAGATTATACTATTTTGTATATTACTCGGGAAATATCGCAAGGTATTTCATAGTACTAAACTGTGATTGCTTTTGACCAGTCGCAGACAATCGGTTTTAATAATAATAAGAATAAAGATAACTGTTTATTTCACAAGGNGTGAAGCATGAAGAGACCAATCCAGCTAAGACGGCAGAAGTAGCCGATATACGGCCAAGGTCGAGGCACTACAAAAGGAATAAAAAATGATGAAGCAAACGCAGAAAGTGTTTTTGTGCAGAACGAAGCGTGTATTCCTGCACAATATCCCAGATAGTAAGGTTAGACACGAATCTGATCAGAGGCATGTACAATATATGTTCAGCTTTGCCGGCCTTCCCTCCACAACGCGTTGCGTGAAATGTCACTGCATTAGTCTATGGTGTGCATTTAAAGTGCAACAACCAAAACCCATATTAGTGGTCTTTAGCAGCACATATACTGCGGATCTGGTGCTAGCAAAAGCCACCAGGATAGAGATAAATACCAAGGGGCTGTCAGAGTTACTCCGGATGACGGAACAGTTAAGAAATCGGCCCCAAAGTTACACAGCAACCTGGGGAAAGCAAAGGGTGAGGCACACCAGGTTATACTGAAAACGTTGAGCAAACAAATTGTGGAGCAAAACCCCATCCCCAACTTGATGAGAAACAGATGAAGCAGGTGGTGACGCCCATGGCTATCTCACCACTGAGCAAATCCGTACAACGCACGGTGAGGCTGTGGGTAAACGCCATCAAAAATCATCCAGTAGTGGTAGCTAAACCAAAGGATGACTAACACAAGGAGGCCACAGGGAAACCAAAAGCCAGTCAGAGCCCCTGAAGTAGAAACTCCGCTGATGAATTGCCAACGGAGACCTGTGACTAGAACACGAAATGGGGGACCCATTCCAATGAAGCTGGTTTCTTTTCATCATAGAAGTGGGTCGACGGAGAAAAGCCCAGGAGAGCACTACGGAATAGCTGTTGGGAAGCCATCAATTCTCCAGGGTTCATGAGTTGGACGGTAATGCAACTCACGGCAGCTAATAAGTCAGAAAAGAGGTGGTGTAACGGCACTGAAATTGAAATGGTCGGACATGTTTTGAACGCCCGTTTGAAGCCGCTTGAGAAGAATCCACCGAATGGTCTAAAGACGGAGGAGTAAGTGGCAGTGACTAGAACATGGCAGAGGAACGGATACCAGTTGAATTGTCGGAACGGTACCATGAAGGGCCAATTGGACACGTAATACGTCCGTGGAACAAAGACCGAGTTGCGTGTGCACTCCGCGGTCAAACAGCCCTCGGTATCGTTCCATTCAAGCAGACAAACAAAATAGTAGTAACGAATGATGATAAGGGCCAAAACGAAACCGAACACTACAGTTGCCAGCCCGCCACCGATAAATCCTTCGCAAGTCTTCTTCGAAGACAGTTTGATCAGCGGTGTGTTGCCAAAGAAGAATCCACATACATAAGCCACGATGTCATTGCAAATGACCAGGGAGACGGGATAAAACCCAAATGATACCATGGAAAATATTGTTGATGATAAAATGCGCGCTGTACACTGCGATCAATAGCGTGACGTGTGTCCAGCCGAACAGTAAAAGCTGCTTGATATAATGTTTCTTGACCACATTGAGTACCAAGAGGACACCCGAGTACAGAATGAATAACAAGAAATAATGACAAGCGCTTGAAGGAAATCCTGAAACAGAAGAACTGTTGAAAGAAACTCTTTGACCATTATTAAACGGAATAGGGTGATCAAGCTCTCACCGAAGAGAAAATAGTTGGACGCGAAAAGAAAACACCAGAAAAGACATCAAAAACAAGGGAGGTCATACGATTGGTAAACAACATATCCGATCGTGATCTGTAGGAACAATACGAGAAGTGCCAATGCCAGTCGTCCAAGATAGACAAGCAGAATGAATGTGCTGCTTAGGAACATGGTGGTGAAAAATCATACTGTCCAGTTGACCCATTTCGGTGATAAACTACTCGTTATTGCTTTGATGAACGCGGGCACATGTGCTGTTCTTTTGTTTAATTTGTTTGCTGCATCCAAATACGGTCTCAGATCGTCTTCCGGTTCTTCCTCATCATCATTCCTAGGTCAGATCAGGTTGCATAGGACTGAATATGGCCACAGCCAATCGAGCGTCCAGAATTCCTTCGATGGTATGCTCACATCGTGGGCACCCAGCACTGCTGAAATAAGAATGAGAAATAAAATCTAATCTCACCAAGTTGGCGAGTGAATTATTAGGCGTCAGCATTCCATGCGTGTACCAGTAAAAAGGGAAAAGGCATCCTAAACATTTGGCACACCTACACATGTCTACACTGCCAGTGATGGGAATAGTTCCACCCATCGCTTATCGAGTGCAGTCTTAAATGCTTGCACAGTTTGGAGGTCGACGATTTCCTTGGGAAGCCTGTTCCATCTGTCGACTATCCTATTGCTCAAAAAGTGCTTCCTCATGTTTAATCGACCCTCTGCTTCATGAGCTTGAGCTCATCACTCCTAATGCCGTGTTGGGGAGCTAATGTAAAGAGACTGTCCGCTTCTATCCCCGATATTTACTTCATGATTTTGAAGGTCTCTATCAGGTCTCCTCGCACTCTCCTTCTTTCTAATGAGAAAATTCCTAGTGCCTCAAGTCTTTCCTCATATGTTTTTCCCCTCTGGCCTTCAACCATTCTTGTGGTTAATCTCTGCACTTTCTCTAAACAGGCAGCATCCTTCCCTAATAATGGTACCCAAGCCTGTACACAATACTCTAGATGTGGCCTGACTATGGCTTAGTACACGGGAATGAAGACTTCCGGTCTTCTTCATGCTAAAACCGACCGTAGTCTAAATAATTCCCCCTAGCCCTGCGCGCCGCTACTTGACATTGGTCAAACCACTTAAAGTTGTTCGATATTATAACCCCCAAGTCCTTAACCCTAGTAGCCGGGTTTGACGGCTAAGTCGTGTTCTTCCGAGTGAGCCACCATTCTTTCAAGTGCCCCTGTGAGCATATGATTCTTGGTAGCGTTAAGACGTAGGTCCCATTCCTTTGCCCATCTAGTTACCTGCTCTGAATTCCGCTCCAGATCACTTCTCCCATTCGAACAAACCACTTTGACGTCATCTGTAAAAATGTAGCATGATATTGTCAAAGTGCTTGGCAAGTCGTTTATGTAGAAAAGAAATAGAAGCGGTCCTAGTACTGAGCCTTGTGGAACTCCGCTAGTCAGCTGAACTGGTGTGGACCTGTTCTCACCAACCGTCCTTATAAAATGATCGTTGTGAAAGAAAGGCACTTATCCACCTGTGCAACTGTCCTTGGATTGCAAATCGTTCTAATTTGGTCAACAGCAGGCGATGATTCACTGAATCAAAAGCCTTGCTGAAATCCAGATAGTACACCTCTACGGTTTTACCCTCATCTATTTTTGCAGGAACATCCTCCAAAAAGCACTGCAGGTTTGCTAGGCATGAACGTTGCTTAACAAAACCATGCTGTGCCTCTATCATGAGTATGTTACGCTCCAGATGCTTCACCAGATGCATTTTCACTATCTTTTCTAGTACCTTACATAGTACGCTAGTTAAGCCAACAGGTCCATAGTTTGTTTACATCTGTCTTCTTACCGCCCTTGTGTATGGCTATTACAGAGGCCGTTTTCCAGTCAGACGATAATCTCCCCTCAGCTAGTGATGTCCTAAACAGGCTGCAAATCGACCTTGCAATTAAATCAGCAACCGGTTTGATGATCGCTGGGCTAATTCCTTTTAGTCCTGTCGCCTTGGACACCTTAAGAGATCCTAGTACCTCAGATATTTGCTTCACTGTTACCCGTAGTTCCTCCACTACGTCTGTTTCCGACGGTTGAGAAGCAGTTGAATCCCCAGTGTCTAACCTTTGCACGCGACTAAAGTAAGCGCAGAGTGCATCAGCTTTACTCTGGTTTTCAGTTATGACCTTATTGCCCTCAAGTACTAGTGGGCCCATCTCTTCTCTGGTAGATCCCTTGAAATGGACAAACCCGTAGTACCTCTTTGGCTCCAGCTTCACTTTCTGGGCCAGCTTCATTTCGAAAAATTCTTTTCTCTCTCACTAGGTTGACCACTGCGTTTCTGTGGGCGGTGTACTGCACCCACGGCATATGGGTGCCGGCTAGTTGGTAGGCCGGCCTGCTTCGGTTCCGGTACCTAATGGTCCTGGCTACTGCGGCCCGCCAACACGGCGGTTTTCCTTTGTCTCCTATATCTTAACGGAGCAAAAAGATCCTGGAGGTTGAGGAGGTTGTGTTTGATTAACACTCAGCATTCCTCGACGTCTGTGGGGTCATGCCCGGGAACCCACTGCATTTGTGCGGTGTATTCCCGAAGCCCACTTATGTTCATTCTGCCAAAATCTCGATGCATCCGTAATCTGCGTACGGCTGGCTTCGTACGGATATCGACCCCGATGAGGAGATGATCACTCTTTCCTATCGGTAGATATCCAGACACACTGATTACATCCTGTTCCCTTTTGGAGATGATGAGGTCTAATAGGGACGGCTCCTGCTGAGCTCTGAACCTCGTGCGGAAGGCAACATGCTGGATGAGTGCCTTTGTGTTTATCCACTCTAAATACCTTTCCGCCTGACTACCTTCGGTGCACCTATCTGCCATCCAATCTATATCTGGTAGGTTAAAGTCACCGACTATGTACAGCTTCGCTGATCCTTACACTAATAGATCGAGTGCATCAATCAATGCCCGATCATCTGAGGTCTCAACCCCGGGACATCGGTAGACACACGCCATCGTAATTTTACAATCCGGTAACAGCAGAGTTACAGCACATAGTTGGACACTTTGCAGGTTCACCGAAAATTCGCAAACCATGTGTACAATGTCCTTCTTGATGAGTGAGGCTACTCCTCCTCCTGTTGCTAGAGGCCGATTCTGCCTATGAATGACAAATCTTTCTAGCACTACATCAGTTTCCCTATCGTTGTCCTTAAGCCATGTTTTCGGTACATATATTACAACTGTATTCAGGTCACATGCTGCTGCGAGGAGTTCCATCCACTTATTTCTAATACTGCAAGTGTTGGTTACAAGTAATCGACAGCTTGCCGTGGATGGGTTACCAGTCTCTCTATCTACTCTATCTTGGGCTTCGGGCGCAGCACCCGAACAGATTGCAAGTTTTTTGACATCTTGCTCCTGCGCTACACCGGTCGCGGTTTGTCGTTATCCGTTATTTTATTGTTTTTCTTACTGGTTGGGGCTATTTTTGATAGGTTATAGCATTTTTTGTAGCGTTTATTGTATTGCTTAGTATTATCCGATTTTTTGGGTTTTCCTTGCATATATTTGTTGGTTTTCGATCATTTTATAGTTATTCATCGGTTTTCTACCCGTTGTCGCTAGATTATTGTAACATTTCTTGTAAGGTTTCTTGTATTGCTTAGTATTATTCGCTCGGCTTCCTTGCATACTACTCGTCAGTGTGTCACAAGGGGTACATAATCTCAAATTCCCAAACCTTTTTAGCGGAATATTTGAAATAATTACTTACTAACTACTTTTAACCGCCTCAG